TCATAAATATATAAAATATTTCTTAAATATAATGTTATTAGGTGTTTACTAACTGTTCATCTCTAAATAAAAAAAAAAGTATTTATGATTCTTAAAAAGTATTATTTTTTATTTCTTTTTGCATTTTGACATTTTTTCATTAAAGTTTAAGCATTATTTTAATTAAAGTTTAAGTAGTAATGCAAAAAAATCTATTTTTGTAAAATATTTATACAAAGTATTAATGTAATATAAAATTATAAAGTATTTTCTATTGTACTGCCTTTGATTTATGTTGAAAATTGTATGTAAAATGAATGTTAATTTTCAGGGAACATTTTCAGTGAGATTGATCGAGCGTTTGCTGAAAGAATCGGCTGGTTGATACATTTCTGCGCAGACACTGGGGGTGAGACATCTACTAAAGCTTAATGTTAGAAATGCAAAACCCACAATCACTCTTGTTTTATCCTAAAAAGCCTTCTTTTTTTTTTCAGATTGTCTGGAACCTCAGACAAGGCGGAAGCTTGCTGGAATGTTGGTAAGCATTAAGCTGATCATGTTTCACCAAATTCAATTCCAGTGTCACATGTCTTAAAGCATTTAATAACAGATGTTATTGTCTTGTGAGCATGAATGAACATTGTAACCTCTCCTTCCCTTGCTTCTGTCTACAGGATGGTCTGGTCAATGTAGGATGGATGGATTGCTCCAAACAGGCAGATCTGTGTGACAGCTTTGAGATCACCACTAGCACTACTGCCCTCTTTCCCCCTGGCAGTTCTCTCGCTCAGAAAGGCAGTGTATTGGTAGGGATCTTATTTATAAATATGCATCCTGTCCAGTTGTAGTAGTTCTTGAAGAAATAGTTCACCCAAAAATGAACATTTGCTGAAAATGTACTAACCTTCAGGCCAACCTAGATGTAAATGAGTTTTTCTTATTTGCAACAGATTTGGAGAAATGTAGTATTACATCACTTGCTCACTAATGGATCCTCTGCAGTGAATGGGTGCCGTCAGAATGAGAGTCCAAACAGCTGATAAAAACATCACAATAATCCACAAGTAATCCACATGACTCCTCCATCAGTTAACGTCTCTTGAAAAGCGAAGAGCTGTGTGGTCGTAAGAAACAAATCCATCAAAATGTTGAAACTTCATTCTTCAAACTTCAAACCGTGGCTTCCAGCTAGAATACAAGTCCTCTATCCATAATATTGCTTCCTCCAGTGAAAAAGTTGTCGTTTGAATCAGGAGAGAAATATGCACAGATCAAACGCTGTTTACAAGCACTGGAGGAAGCTTTGTTATGGATTATGGACTGTAATTTTGGTCAGAAGCAACGGTTTAAAGTTAAAATGCCTTAATGGTCTGTTTGTTTGTTACAAACACAGTTGTTGTTGTTGTTTTTTTTACAAAAAATTGTTTTATCAGCTGTTTGGACTCATTCTGTCACCCATTCACTGCAGAGGATCCATTGGTGAGCAAGTGATGTAATGCCAAAATTCTCCATATTTGTTCCGATGAAGAAACAAACCCATCTTCAGGGTGGGTATATTCCCAGCAAATTAAATTTTTTTGGGTGAGCTATTCTTTTAATTGTGCCAATCTCATGGGCTGGTTTTCACTTTGATTTGATCAACCTTGCAGTTTATCCAGAGTTTGGATACTAAAGAAATATATGCACAAGTGTTGCAGCATCTGCCTGACCTGGAGATTCTTACAAAGAGCAGCTTTGAGGTAAGACTCCAAGTGACTTTAGCATGAACATCATATGTTTGCCCTTGTTCTGTACCGCACCCAGCACTTTCTGCAGTACCACTGTTTACACAGTAACTGACATGCTGGATGAAATATGATTACGTGGTATAAAATGTCATTAAAAACATCCTTCTTATTTTTAATGATGTATGTTTTTTTTCTGACTTTGTCATTTCAGCATAAATTGGCTCATCACCGATGGCTCATCAGTTTCTCCTTTGGACATAATGATTTGGCATCACATGAATATAAAAAACTCAAAGCTCTTCTGAAGGACTCTCACATACAGGTTCTTGGTTATATTATATTATATTAGATTAGATTACTATATTATTATAAGTAGTTCATATGACTTATGAAATTCTAAGTGTTTTGAAGCTATAACGTTTCGTATGACAACGCTTCAGACAACGTTTGGAACATTGGACTGCTTTACAGTACTTTTATGGTGCTTTTGCCTATTTTTTGAGGCCAACATGAGAGCAAGTAAAACAACAGAACTTTTGCTTTTATAATATTGTTTTACACAGTACGCAGGTCATAGAACTTCTGGTATATGGTGCTGTTGTGTTAGATTAATTGCGTTTATTTGTTTGCACAGGTGGGGAAGGTGGACTGTGCCGCAGATTCAGAGCTGTGTGCTTCTCTATATATACAGAAGGCCTGTGTGGCTGTTTTTAAAGGAGTTGAAATTCATGATTTTGAGATTCACCATGGTGAGTTTGGGAGAGCTTTAGTAAGACTAAATATTCTGCATTTAAATAACAAAACAAGTGCTTTTTAACCATCTGCATGAATATCTTAAACTAAATGTTACTGCTTATTTATACTTCAAAACAAGCATAAGAGCAATTTATGTTGTCATAAAAATATAATTGCATATGAAGATGAAAATCATACATGCTACCATTCAAAAGTTTGGGGTTTGTAAGATTTTTTGTCTTTTCTGCTCAAGAAGGCTGCGTTTATTTGATCAAAAATGCAATAAAAACAGTAATATATTTTTTTAATGATTACAATTTAAAAACTTTTTTATTTTATTTTTAACTTTTTCTATTTTAATACATAATTTATTCCTGTGATCAAAGCTGAATTTTCAGCATCATTACTCCAGTCTTCAGTGTCACATGATCCTTCAGAAATCATTCTAGTATGCTGATTTGCTGCTCAAGAAACATTTCTTATTATTATCAATGTTGAAAACATTAATATTTTTGCTTAATATTTTTATAGAAGCTGTGATACATTTTTTAGGTTCTTTGACAATAGAAAGTTCAAAAGAACAGCATTTATTTGAAATAGAATTGTTTGCAATGTTATAAATGTCTTTTTGATCAATTTAATGCATCCTTTCTGAAGTTGTAGTGTAGTAAGTAAAGGTCAAGTGTGGTTGACCTTCACACCCTGAATGGCTAAAAATGGCTTTTAAGGTTCTCCACTGTAGGAAACCAGCATCAGAGGGTTAAAATACATTTTGGATCAGCCAGTAACACTACAACCTGTAAACATTTCATCTAAATTGATGAAATTTATTTGGTATTGGTCTAAAATGTTAAAAGTTCTGATGCCAGTTACTCTGTGTTAAATCTCCAGGTAAGGACGTCCTGTACAATGTTGCAGCCTTTGCAAAAGAGAGTGTGAATGCCCATGTCACCACACTGAGTGTGGAGAACTTCCCTAGCCATGAGAAAGATCCCTGGCTGGTTGATTTCTTTGCTCCTGTGAGTTGTTACATCTAAACCTCTCTGTTAAACCTCTGCTGAAGCCGCTATTTGAACGCTAATGATTATCTGCTAAGCACGTACTTACTTTGCCATGGTAACTTCCTGCCGATGGTTGATTCATCAGGCTCAGAAGGGTGAGAAATGATCTGCGGAGGCAAGCACAGTGAAATTACTGAAATTCAAACAATTAAAAGGATAATTTGCATCCGTGTTTGAAATTTGGTTTCATTAAAAATCATTATGGGTAATTGTTCTGTTCTACAGTGGTGTCCGCCATGCCGAGCTCTTCTCCCTGAGCTGAGAAAAGCCTCCATCCAGCTCTTTGGACAGCTGAAGTTTGGGACTCTGGACTGTACCGTGCACGAGAGGCTCTGCAATACGGTACTGAGATATTCACCCTCGTTCAAATGTTGCAGAATTGACAGTTGATTGGGCATGATGACTTGCATTTGAAGCTGATGGCATCATTTGCTCTGCATCTCTAGAGTTTTCATGTGGTTTTCTGTAGTGTTCTTAATAGAGATTCAGATCCTCACTAGCTTCCTGTCTACCAGATCTTTTTATAGAATCATCAGGAAACCACAGCATCTGACTTACAGGTGCATCTCAATAAATTAGAATGTCGTGGAAAAGTTCATTTATTTCAGTAATTCAACTCAAATTGTGAAACTCGTGTATTAAATAAATTCAATGCACACAGACTGAAGTAGTTTAAGTCTTTGGTTCTTTTAATTGTGATGATTTTGGCTCACATTTAACAAAAACCCACCAATTCACTATCTCAACAAATTAGAATACTTCATAAGACCAATAAAAAAAACATTTTTAGTGAATTGTTGGCCTTCTGGAAAGTATGTTCATTTACTGTACATGTACTCAATACTTGGTAGGGGCTCCTTTTGGTTTCACAATTTGAGTTGAATTACTGAAATAAATGAACTTTTCCACGACATTCTAATTTGAGATGCACCTGTATATCTTACATTCTCTTCATATAGCTTAAAAGTGGTGTCATTTCTGCACCACTAACAGCAAAATTATAATTTTTACTATTACAGTAATTATATGTAACCGTGTACAGGTCTGTTTACAGAAGCATCGTAATCATATGCCACAGGAAACCACAGCATTTGTCTTACTTTCTCTTCATATTGCTTAAAGGTAAAGTGTGTCATGTCTGCAGCACTAAATAATTAATAATAATAATTGCTTTTATAATATGATTATAATAATAAGAATTATAATTAGTTTATCAATTCACTATTTAATAATATTATATACTGTATATTACTATTAATATTATTTAATGTAATAATAATACATTATTAGTAATGATTATTGTCATTATCATGATTAATTCACCAATTCATCATATTGTTAGAATATGTATTATTAGCAATACTTATGTAACTGTGTACGGATCTGTTTATAGAAGTATCATAAAACCTTCTGAATCTTTGCAACAGGAAACCATAGCATTTGACTTGTTTACTTATGTTACGAGTAAAGCGTGCCATTTCTGCACCACTAGCAGCAAAATTGCAAAAATAATTAATAATAATAATCTTGCATTGTACTGACCTGCCTCACACTGCCTTTGACTGTTTATATTTAACTTAGCATTATTTTAGACCTTTTGATTTGACATAAATAAGCTGATTTTACCAGAGTATGAATGTTCAGGTGAGAGCTGCTTCTCATCTCTTGCATTTTGCTTTCCGTTCTTCAGTATAACATTCATGCATATCCAACAACTGTAATCTTCAACAAGTCCAGCATCCATGAGTATGAAGGCCATCACTCTGCAGACGGCATCCTGGAGTTTATAGAGGTGAGGCACAGATTACAGTTACATTTATTCATACCCTCATTCATAATCAATACAGTATACACACATTATATATCTGTTTAGATGTAATAAATGATTGTGTCTTCTGCAGGACCTGGTGAACCCTGTGGTGGTGACATTGATCCCAGAGTCATTCCAGGAGCTGGTGAAGAGACGCAAGTCCTCAGAGACGTGGATGGTGGATTTCTACGCTCCGTGGTGTGGCCCCTGCCAGGCTCTGCTGCCAGAGTGGAGGAGAATGGCACGGGTATCTGCTCTTGTATATTAAACTGACACTCCATCTGAATGTTAAAGTATTACCTTTTTTCCTTGTTATTACAGTTTTTTGCAGTTATATATGATCTCAATGTAATTGCCCTTATTACATAACTGGCTGTCGACAAATGTTTGATTTAATCACGATGTGTGATTCCTAAGGCCATTGTGCACTTTAAATTGTAATGACAATTCCTCATTTTGCCAAAATGTAATGCAAAATCTAGAAATGCTATGAAACACATTACATTTGAGTAACTGTGCATGTAACAAAGTGCAATTAAAAAAAGCTCAAAATCTAAAAGATCATCATTCATACAAAGTTTAAACAGTTTTAAATGTTAAATTCCTGAATATTCAAATGAAATACAGCTTTAATACCATTAACTATAATATTATAATTAATATTAGTCATTATTATAGTTATTGTATATATTCCATATTGAGCAAGCATATTATACATACACAAACACACACACTATATATGTATATAAGTACATAATTAGATTTTTTTTAAATACGCTTTGGATAAAATCTCATAATATGCTCACATTCAATATACAGTTCATATACAGTTTTTATAATTTTTTTATTTCAGCTTTAGTTTTAGATACTTTAGTACATTGGCACTAAATAACCATAATAACCCTGTTACTGCAATATTTGTTTTTCAAAGCCTTTAAGAAACTCTATTTAAATGTTTCCAACTTCTGTGTGAATAAATGACTTTCTTAAAATGTATATGCATTAAGCTTACACTTTACATGAAAAAAGACAAATAATTTATTGCAGTTTTTTGACACTTAATTTCTTGCAAAAATGTCATGATTGTGACAACCCTATTGCTGTGTCTGTTCTAGATGCTGAGTGGGATTGTAAACGTGGGAACGGTCGACTGTCAGAAACACCACTCATTCTGCCAGGGTGAGAATGTGCACGCTTACCCAGAGATCCGCCTGTTTCCTCAGAACAGTAATAGGAGAGACCAGTACCAGTGCGTGTTTCCTACATCCTGTAACTCAAACACAATTACACACACCAGTACAACAAATTCAGTGCTTCTCTCTCATTGTTAACAGGAGCTACAATGGACGGCACCGGGATGCCTTTTCCCTCAAGACTTGGGCCTTGAGGTAAGTTGGAATAATTCTCACAAGTATCCATAAGTTTGCCAACAATTTGAACTATTTTACTGATAGTTTTGCATCATGCAGATAGCTCCCTTCACACAAAACACACAAGAGACTTGACTTGATTTTAGTAGTTTTAGCTTGTGGCTAAAAGCTCAAAAACACCACACTCAAACGTTGGGTAGCCAGTTTTTAACTAGCTTAGCTTTATGCGTGGAGAGTTGTCATTAACTTGGCGACATGCTATTGTCAAAGTCACCCACCTGCAGTGTTACAAATCAGTCAATTTTGGTTCCATTTCTTTAGGATGCTATATGTAGGCAGAGCTATTTTACATTTTGTACCCTCTGACCATTGGACTCATCTGTCCATAGCTCTCTGCCTCGTGCCTCAGTGGATCTGTCACCCGAGGACTTTAAGAGAAAGGTTTTGGGAGGGAAGGATCACTGGGTGTTGGATTTCTATGCCCCATGGTGTGGCCCATGCCAGCAATTCGCCCCTGAATTTGAAGTTCTTGCCAGGGTAAGACTTTTTATTAGGACAAATTTGTGAAGACATCAGCTGGTGTTTGCAATGTTTCTAACTTTTTTCTCAAAGATTTCTGCTGCTTTGCAAGCATTGGCATTTCTGCAAATATAGATGCAAATGATCTTTTAACAGCTAGAGTAATGAGAGGAGTGCATACAGTGTTTCAGCCAATCACATTCATTCTTTTCTTTTTAATGCTGCCAAGCAGTTTTTCGATGTGCACTGAGGCCAAAAGTCTGCTATAAATAATCATGCAGAATGTCTGGTGAAAAATTACATTAGCTATGATTCTGCAAAGAAATCTTACCAATTAGAGAATTGTGGCAAGCAAATCCTGACAAAATAACACTTATGCACCCGCCTACTCTCATGAAATGACATAATAGTCAGTCCTTATATCAATACCTAAAATAAAAAAAAAACAGAATATATAGTGCTTCATGTTAAGTACAATGTCTTTTTGTCCAGTTTTCAAATTTTTTTTGCTTCATGTCAATGTTTGTAATATTGTGATTCACCTCATAGCTGGAATATTTGGTTTTTGGCTTATAACGCTTCACTAAGACATCTTTAAAGGGGTCATATGATGCGATTTCAATTTTTCCTTTCTCTTTGGTGTGTCACAAGCTCTTGGTGCATAAAGAATATCTGTAAAGTTGCAAAGACTAAAGTCTCAAATCCAAAGAGATATTCAACCACGCCTACCTAAAATGGCTTGTTCTAACACACCCCCACATGTCTACGTCACTATCTGGGAAGATTTGCATAACACCGCCCAAATGTTCACGCAAAGAAAGAAGGCGTAACTTTTATTCTCACTGTAGTATTGTTGCTGCCGCCGCCATGTCGTGAAGGCGCTGTGTGTTTCGTTGTGAAAGCGAAACTACTTTGGTTGGCCTTCCAAAAGAGGATGGTATCCGCTTCGTCATGCCTGGAGCTGATCCGTGCTGGTCGCTGAGGAAATACATCAACTTCGCGCTGTCGATTGCCGGATCGGCTTTCACC